CCCCCCCCACGTGTGGCCCCGACCTCGTCTAAGAACCCATCGTTCCCATCCCCTGTCCTCTATTCCAAAAATATTACAGATTTACATTTCTTACTTACCGCTTTGTGAGCAGCTTCTATCGAATCCCTGTCGTCCCGTAATTTTTGATTCACATCTCTATTTAATATCAATGATATAACGAATCATTCGTTAACAAGTTGGCAAGCACCGAGTATGACCCGAAGATGTTCGAGGACTATTTACCTTAGTAGATCAAGCTGTTTAATAAGACTTTCTTGTTCAATTTTCATTCCTTCTGTCATCTTCATTGCTTGTCTGAAAAACACGAGACACAATTACGAATGCGTCGTGTAAAAAAGTTTATTTTCACTAAATGTTTTTCCGTCATCGGCTGAAATAACAAGCGCTCTTGTCAGGCTGAAGTATACCTTGCTCTTTCTTCCTTTTCTTCTGCTGTCATTGCCTGCAGCTGGTGCACATAGCTTCTTGTGTCTTCTAGTGACATCACAGAATCCGTTAACTGGCCTTCCAGACTCATGTTTTTCTTTGAAAGAAAGATAAATTGAAATCTAAAGCTTGAGGTTACTCCATGCTATCTTTGTATCCTCTTGTCTATTTAATATCTACTCTTGTCTATGCATCCACCTTATATATATATACTTCAATTGAAGTTTTAGCCTCCACTTATTAATGATCATTATCCAAAATAAATTTTGCAATCAACTTTGCTGATCTTTGTCCCTGCGCAGGACACACAGGAATCCCATGACTTGTCTTCTTACCTGTACAAGCATTTCATTTTGACTCTTAATTTGCGTTTGGTATTGCTCTTTTTCTGATATCAATTCTTCGAGCTGAATATAAAATAAAAGATATAATAAGATTGACCCATTAATAAGGGCTTACAAAGCATCATGGGAACCCAAAGGGGTGGGTGCCTAAACTGAGAAGAGGAGAGAGGACTGTCAGAGGAGAGGAGAGGAGAGGAGAGGAGAGCAGAGGAGAGGAGAGCGTAATCACAGCCATTCTTGTACCTTTTTCTGTTTGTTTAGCATCCACTGTATCTCCATCTCTTTTCTTTCCAGCTCACTCATCAATTCTCCCTTTAAAGCCTTTTCTCTCTTGTCTTGCTACAAAGAAAAAAATAAAAAGTATTACATAATCATAAAACTGACCACATCAACATTATGGGGCTAATGATATACAATATATACCTCTTGTTCATAGCGGTCTTTGACAGATTTTATCTGCTGTTCCATTTCTTCATACAATTTTTGAACTTCTCTATCATGAGAATTCATTTTACTGTTTGGAAAAAAGAAAATGAGAAATAAGATGAATGAATGGACGAATGAATTTATGAATGAATGAATGAGTGAATGAATGAAAGAATGAATTACTGGTCGTACAGCTAAATAGATAGTAAAATGGCTAAAACCAGTAGGTGGATAGGGTAGGTGGAAAACAAACTAACAAACTAATAAAATGCCTAAGTATCCTTTTATGAAATGAATGATTAAACTGCCTGGATGCAAAAATAAAACAGTAGAAACAATTGAAAGTAGGAATAACAAATAAAACGAAACAAAGTCCTAGAGAAGAAAAAACAGTCACTGTCTGAGACTAACTGTAAACATCGTCACTCGTAAATAAAACATATAATCTAAAACTGGTAATATTACTGCTCTAACTTTCACCACACAAATGTAATATGGCAATTATGTCAATAAAAAAACAAAAATTACCAACGTAATTAAGGAATTTTATTATGACGTGTGGAAAGAGTGACTTAAAATGCTAATGAAACATCAATAATCTTACCTTTTCAAGGCATTCTCCAGCTGCTCAGAATCATTTCGAGCTCTTTTGATCTCAGTTGAAACTTTACTCAGGAAATCTTCAAATTTGTGTATCGCTCTAGAGTCATTGTTTTGAAGGGATTCCCACAATTCTCTTAGTTGATCTTTTGACAAAGCTCTAAAAAAGATGATTTACATATTAATTATAGAAGCGTAGACTTTGTTGACAGAGTAAGCCGAGGGAAGCCACTTGAAATTTCATAAAAACCATTTAACTACTGATATTATAAAAACACCAAGGTTACGAGGTTACAAGTTTGTTTTTCGAATAATGAAAAAATACTATCAGTTGATTTCGAAAAGTGAAAAAGTTTTCACTCGAACTTCACAAATCTTTTTTTTACATATGATAATATAGTTTACCTTTAATTGAACAACGAGCCAGGCAACGAAGTGAAACTACTACATTTCTGAAATGCTTTCCACATCAAAATATTGCGATCAAAATTTCGAAAATGAAATAAATTGATAAAAATAGGTAATTCCCTAAAAAAATTATTTTAAATAATCGTTAAGGACAGCAATCGCTTAAATAGTTATCACTCGATCAAAGTTGAATTGTTTTCTTCGACACAGCTTGTAATATGGCAGCAGGATGGTGAAAGATCAGCATGCATTAAATATTCACTGTTTTGATATCATAAATTAATACCTAACGTAGGAATACAATTTGACCAGAAAGAGAACACCGTCAGGAAACCTAAAAATTGTTTTTACGTATTAATTGCAATAATAATAAAATAACCTTGACAGCTGTAAATCGAAGCCAATCGCTGTGGAGTTTGAATCAAGGTTAACATTTTTATAATGCATAATTACAGTCCAATTTTGGTATTATTTTACTGAATAAATAAATTATATATCGTGGAGAAAATGTACGTTTATCTCTGGAAAATGTAAGACACAGGTGCTGAGGTTAAACACTAAGATAGAAATATAATTAACACTTATAAAAGTGGTTTGGATCGCTTAGCGTGCGTTTAGTATTCTAACCAAAATAGAAGTGGCTTCCGGTGGCTAAAAGGAAAAGATATTCCACTAATGAATTTACCACAAAGAAACGGCGCTCATTTTAAAGACGGATACTAAAAATATAAGATAGATTTGAGTATTACTGTGATCTGTGTATTTGTTTGAACGCTAGAGRGGAAAAAACCCGGCATTTACATTAAATGTACTCCTTCATAGAGGTGGAAGACTAGACAAGTTTTGATTATATATTTCATTCATGAAGTAAAAAGAGCAACTAATAAAACTAAATAATGAAATTACCCTGAAAACACTTCTTCTCCAATGCTCTCGACAACCTCTCTGAATACAGCGTCTTCTTTTGTGTTAGAAGAAGAGTCAAATGTATGGCTACTTTCAAAAACATCTTTAGCCGGTTCGGGTTCGATCAACTCRACTTCAATGTCATGTTGTTCAATCAATCCATTGCTTTCTCCTGTTTCAACACCTCGAAGAAAATTTCCAAAACCGTCTGCAAACTCTTCCAAAGTGAGCCTACCATTGCTGTCTTGATCAAGTTTATCAAAAATCAAATCTAACTGATCAAAATTTAAATTCAAGTCTATTGCAACTCTTTGTAAATCAGTCTTGGTTATGTATCCTTTCCGGTCAGTATCGCAGAGGTAAAATAATTCCCGGCCCGGGTCACTTGTTGCGATCTCTTCTAACTCTGGGTTGGCATTGTCATCCAGATCCAACCCTAAAAACAGCCCAAAACCTTCAGTGAATTCTTCAAGAGTTAGGTAACCATTTTGGTCGTTATCAAGCTTGCCGAAGGCTTGTTCAACTTGTTTAGAGTCTAGTGGTAATTCAAGCTCTGAGATGACCTGTACGAGGTCGTTTTGTGTTATGAAACCTTTCTTTTCTTGATCACAGAGACTAAACAGCTCTTGTGCTCGTTTTTGTAGCGTGTCTATGGCTTCGTGTTTGTGATCACCCATCCCGATACAAAACAAATGCACAAGATAAAATATTCTCCATCAAGGAATTAAAACTCTTTCTCCAAGAAGCCCATGAACTGCACAAGCGGATATCAGTACATAGATTACGTGTGACGGCTCTTTTCACAGTTCAATAATTCGTGAAGAGTTTACTCGCGTCAAGTAAGTTTCCTATCCGTAAGGTTCGGTAGCGTTTGAATGAATCCAGCCAGATATAGTCATTATTCCCCTGTGTTTTCCAATCCAAGGCCTGCATGCATGCACTCTACTCGCGTCCTCATGGTTACATGACATTTACACCCCGTGGGGGTACTACTACGTTTCTAATTTATGACTTTTACAGATTTATTTTACCTTTAATCACGATAAAAAAAAGCGGCTATTTAGCCCAAATAATCACATAAGGACACAAAATATAGATTGTACAATTGTCAAAGAGCTGATTACGAGTTTTATAATTTAAAAAAATATTTTGGGAAAGCGAAGCAAAAGTTTAACTTTGGGGGTGGATATTTTTTTATTTGTTCAACCTGTCTAGATTTGTTCTCGACGTAGTTCTAGAATCTACCYCATGATGATCAAAAAAAGCTTAAATCATTTATTGGATGAATGATTTCCGCAATTATATTTCAAATGGTTTTTGCTGTCTGATGTACATGGCGCTGGACTTGTTTGTGAGTACGATGAACTGGAATCTTCGGTGGCTTAAGAAAGAGACCTATCAAGTACTGATCAGAATGAATTAACAAATAGTAATACAAACACACACGTCTTAGAATAAAATAATGATGACCTTGATCGACTACTGGTGAAGCGTGAAATATATAACAAGTACATCTCAAAACATGGAGATCATGATGCTATTTTGAGCTGTGTGGTCACCCATCCACACTGTATCTATGGTGCTGATGATGATGAAGATGATGATTCTGATTCTGAATGATCAATAATGAACCAGTTGATGATAGTCATGTTGATAATCAGATAGGTGGTGTTAAGGATGATGACTTGATGCTGATGACGGTGATGATGATGGTGTTGATAATGATGACCAAATAAAGATGACTGAAGATAATGATGTTCTCAGTTAAATGCGATTTTCTAGAGCCATGCAAACTGGATTATGTAATAAATCATTGTTCTTGAAGTGTTTATTGTTTATCAGAGAATCACATCTATGCCTCTCAAATACGCTTCTCAAATGCTTTTGAAAGAATCAGTGTGCAGCCCAAAGATTGGCCTGTAGCTCTTTTCATCCTTACTACTTGGTCTTTTAAAGATGATGATGAGGTCGATGATGGTAGTGGGGGTGGTGGGGATGGTGGTGGGGGTGGTGGTCGGGAAGGTGACTGATGATGATGAAGATAGTGCATGTTGATGGTGGAGTAGATAGCGGGAGTACTCAGAAAGCTGATATAATGTTATTATGTCTAAGAAGCCATTATCTACCCTTTTTTAGTCATATTCTCATTGAAAAATAGACTTCAGGAGCTTTGGTTGTAGTAATTCAACAACGAACAGAGAAGACGTCACGTACGCCATGCAATTTTTAATCACTGCCGGAGGATATCATAAATATATTATATATAATAGATATTATGTGGAATGACCTCCCACTTCAAATTAGGGAAAGTTCTTCAATCCAATTATTTAAAAATGAACTGAAAACTCATTTGTTCAAGAACTTTGTCTCCTCTGGTTCAAAGTGAACATCAATGAACTATGACATTTCATTAATATTGTAATAGACATTTCCGATTTAGCGGCATATGAGCGGAATAGGCATATACTAGCGGAATTAGCATAAACCAGCGGAATAAGGCTAGAATCATCGTTATGACCAGAAAATTCAATAAAATAATGAAACAGCTTTCAGTAGACCTGTTTTATTTAACTTAAGGTATTGCACAATAATATCGTTAACACTACCTGTTTTATTAGCTTAACTGACGAGCAGTCTGCTCGAGAATAAGATCTCGTCCCGTTGAAACGCAGGTATATAAAAAAGTTGCGTTCATAATATACTAATGTAAATGCTCGCCCTTAAATTTATAAAAGGACTAAGAATGCTAGCATATGATGTAGAATACCACGACGGTTATTATTTTCGAGAAGTTTTCCTTCTGCATGGACACGTACGTATCGCTAACATATAGTTGATATGTGGATGCCTACTGACATTGTTCACTGCCTGTAAACACTTGCTTCCCAACTCTGTACCCCCTCCTCTGCGGGGAAAAACAGGATTTTATTCAAGTTCTCTATTAGTTCTTATACATTGGAAAAGGCTGTGCACATAACCAATGCGTTGAAATTCAGAACAAAACAAGATATTTGAGAGATTCAGTAAGGATCTCGTGTTTTCGACAAACATTTGTGCTACGCAAACGAAAAAAAAAAGGAAAAAAGAAGTTGAAAAGCTTTTCAAGAAGCAATATATAAATAATGAAATAACCTTTGTCGTTGCTGAGAAGGTTTTTAAAAGGTACTAGTTAAATTACAGGGAAAGAACAAAAACGTGCTTATGCCGGCCAGGCTCTGCGGTAAGAAAAAACGTGATGCTTAATGTCTATTCATTAATAACGTGAACAGAACTCATAAAGCCTATAAATTGCTAGTCTCCATCTGACGACGAATTTGTCACGTCAAGACCATGAACTGCCCTCCAGCTTCTTAATGCTTTCTGGTGCTCTCGTGCAGCA